GGTATGACGTGAAGACAGAACACGGGGCACAACTGTCCCGTAAAGAGGAGGGCGATGGACACGGATCAGTCAGAGGCAGCTATGGTTACAGAGATGATAAAGGCATTGAACGACGAGTTGATTATGTAGCAGATAAGGGAGGCTTTAGAGCTGTGGTCAAAACAAATGAGCCTGGTACTGCTAAGAGCAATCCTGCTGATGTTGAAATGTTAGCCGACCCTATGATTGTTGAGTGGTCTAAATGGTCACGACCTCAACAAAATGATAGACACCAACTTTGGTGATCATTTCAATATTGCTAAATATGGTTTGTCTATTAAATTATTCAATATTATATCCCGTTTATTTATATGTAGTTATGTAAAATCTTTATATATATATATGTAGTTTATTTAATAATAATATATAAATGTATAATTAATTACATATTTGTTTTTATTTAAATGATTGGATTATAAATGTTTTTATAAATAAGTGATTTTACAAATAAAACATAAGCACATCTGTTAATAATGTTGTAATTAATTTTTATCGGATTAAAAAAATTATTTAAACAGATTTATCAATTAAATATAAAGCATATGTTAAGCAAAAACATAAAAATTATACCTAGTTAAATTAAAGCTAAAAAATTTTAAAGCGTTTTTGAATACAAATATACCAAATTATAATTGTTGTATATTGGATCTATTTCGGAATTATCAATTTCAACAAATATTTAACTATATTAATCCAACAAAAACTACGTAGCGTATAATTTATTTTACAGTAGATTACACGATTTAAGATCTATAAATATTGTTAACCAATACAATATTATCATACTAAATTAACAAACTTGTAAGGTTTAATTAAAGCTTTAATTTATTTTAAAAATTACTATCTCATGCGATTAATACTATGGATTTCCAATAGTATTAATTGCTGGCATAACTTGATTTTTATGTTTATTAACCAGTATTGTGCAATGGTGTTTAAAAGTATAAAAATATAATATACACTATCATTAAGAAAAGATAAAGTGCTGTTCAATATTAAATCAAAATAATGTTTTTTATTTGTTTGATTTAAATTAAATAATCTTAATAATAATTTAAATAAATTAATGTGAATTACGAAATAATTGATTATTAAGCAAATAATTAAAAATGACGAGTAATCATAATAAATTGTGTTAAATAATCATAAACTAAATTACGTCAAATTTAATATTAAAATGCTGAGTTTTGTGTTAATTTTAATTTGTTACATTTAAAGCAGGTTAATTAAAATTGTAAATAATATTAAAATTAAATATACATGGTAAATTACAAAAGTATACAAATTGTTTAAATGTTGTGTAAATGTTTGTTGCTTAAATAAATAAAATTTATGTAACAGTAATCTCCAATTTTAAATGTTTGCAACGAATGTAAAATCAATTTCCGGTCGATTTAATGGATAATTTTGTTGATTTGTTATATATATAATGATAAGAAAATATATTCTAATATTTGATGAATAAATGAATGTAAGATATAATTTAAAAATGAATTTTGTTAGCTGTCTACCGGTTTTGATTTTGGCATCATTGGTTTTAATTCCTGTATATTCGGGTATTATTTATTATTTTCTCTATTGTATATTGTACATTGTTTAATTATTTGTTTTTATTGGTGTCTAGCTGCAGAATTGATTTCCAATGAGACCTCAGCAGTTCCTCAATGGGCAGCACCACAGCTTCCACCTCAACCTCAACCACAAATACAATCTCTAGACACAAGAGAGGTCAGAGGTTTAAGTAGCAACAATTCAAGTTAGTAATATTTTTTCACATTACAAAAAAAGTTTGTCACAATTATGTTAATAGTTTTAAAATAATAACTCAAACTTCTAGTGTATATTATTAAAAAACTCAATATTTGTTGATAACCTAATAATGATAACTATAATCTAAAATTATTCCAAAATACAAAATTAGAATTTACTTATGAATCATAAGTTATGAATACAGCTGGCCAACCTTATTGAGAAAGTCGTTTTGAACCCCCGAAACGACATTTAGCCCCTGCCCTTCATTTCATTAGTTATGCCCTTTATATTATTCATACTTGTATTAAAGTACAGATACGTTATGAATGACGAATATAAAGGGCATAGTAATGACGAAGGGCTGGCAAATTGCAGGGAGTGCGTCAAGCGC